TTTCTGTGAATCCACTTGTTCCACTTGGGGTTGCCCGCTGCGTAAGGCTCTTCGTCCTTTGGCTTGAACACCCCAACGACCTTGCCCTCGGTATTCCGAGCAAAGTAACTGCCTGAGCTACCCTGAGAGATCATGCGCGGGTGCGTGCCCTGCAGGATGGCTTGCTTCACGCTCCCGAGAATCTCCTCGAACTCGAACTTGGTCATGACGTCTTGCACGACGGCCAGACCTTCCGGTGTGATGGGCCTGACGCCCTCGGGGGCCTGGAAGACGGAGTGGTGGATCTCGAGGCGCTCTTCCTCGCCGACCTTGCCGCGTTTGGTGCGCTTGAAGCGACTGGCGATTTCGTCGGCCCAGCGCTCGAGGCGGGCGTTGATGGCCTTGAGATCAACGCCGGAGTTGCTCCCGCCGCGGCGACGGTTTCTCGGCCTGGCAGAGGGGCCGGAGGCGGATATGGATATGGGTTTCGGGGTCGTCATGCCCGAGCGGGGACGCGGCTGGGTGATGGGGGCGAAGCGAGGGGCGGCCGGCGGCTGGAGGGAGGCGTAGGACTGGGTCAAGGGGTCGTCGTCTTCCGAGTCGGAGGAGAGCGCGTCGGCTTGAGCGAGGCGCTCATAGCCCGTCGTCGCGGGCCTAGAGCGAGGCATCGCGGGCAGTCGGTCGGCGGAAGGGCGAGGAAAGGGAGGCTATCGTCGCGAGAGGAGAATTGGTGAGGCTCGCTTACGGAGCAATCGCAGGGTTGTGGTGGATTTCGCAAACGAGGATGTTCGAACGTGGCAATTCAGCGTGTCACCGTTGCGATGCGAAAAGAACGGCGGCGAGAAGAGCGCGGAAACCTGGCCTGAGGACGGAAGAAGGCACACAAAGTCTATAAAAAGAAGGGAGACGGGTAAGAACTAGTAATACAGCAAAAAATGAAACAAACGTGGTGCCAACAACGAGAGCAGGCAGCAGGTCTGGCGGTGGAGCAGAGAAAGCACCGAGAGGACAGGTGGTTGTCGGGGACACACAAGGAGGCCGTCTCTCAGATGTCGCGTCGTCGTCGTGGTCGTGTCGTCGTCGGCGAGAAAGTGTGTCGTCAAGTTTCGGCGGACGGCGATGCTGTCATTGGGGTGCAGCCGGTGCTGCTGCCATCCTGGTGCAACGCAAAGCGCCGAGGTACCTTGTGAGGTACCTGAGTTTACCTAGCTACGGGGCATTTGAGCTGTTCGTCAGGCGGGTTGGTAGCTCTGGAGGCTACCTAAGTTAAGGTACCTAAGGTAGCTGCTAGGTAGGTATGTACGGCAAGGTTCCAGGCACCTGCGGACCGCGTCTACCCGGCACCTGGCCTTCTCCCTGCCAAACCTGCACCTCGTGGCAGTATGGCCTGTGATGAGTGGCCAGTCTCTGAGGAGCTCGAGGCGCCTCGCGAAGACGCCAGATGTGCTTCTCATCAATGTGTTGACTGGTTTGTTGGAAAGTAAGCTCTGTGAATCACAGCTGTCTAACCCACCGATCTTACCCGACCGGACCAAGTCATGAACGTTGCCAACCAACACATTCTCCCTGTCCGATGCAGTCTCTGGACTTTTGGCATCAACGGACGGTCGTTAGTCGTATCGAAACGGCTCGCGTAGGAACGACGTTTGGTCGGTCGTTGGCAGAGGTCTTGGGTAGGTCGCCATTCGCTAAACGCTTTCCGGATCGGCCTGCACCGCGGCAGGCAGCCGGCAGCGGGAGCATCGGGCCAAACGCTTTGACTGAGATGGGTAATACCCAGGTAGGTAGGAAGATACGGGGGCCGCGGCGGGCGGGGCATTGGGTGCCACAATGTCTTGCTCGTCCCGATGTTACCGGCGAAGCTCGTGATACCTCAGGGAGGCTCATGTTGTGTATGGGCGATGAGATGGCCTCGACAACTTTGGGATGCGCGACCACAGGCAATATCAACTGGCTATCTAATATCAGCCATACTCCGTCACAGACAGAACAGGCACAGCTCATCTAAGCTCCTCCCATTCGTAGAGGCATCGAATAGAAGGTCACTGCCACGCCCCGGAATCCCCAAGCTCTCGGGTCGCAGATGGGCCCACTCACACCGAATGTCCGTCTCTTCCACCCGCGAATTGGTTCGATTCATCAGGCGACTACGAAGACCTGTCAATGTCTTCCCGCACCATCACGCTGAAAACATTCCGTTTGCATCACCACGGCCAATCCTGTCACAGACTTGCATCGGAATCTGCAGGTCTTTCGTGCCAACGTCCAATTCAAGGCACGCAGCCTACCGCTTCCTTGCCGAGTGGCAGGTCCAGCATCATCGTTTGCGGTTCGGACGACTAAGAACCAGTCTACCCGGCTGATCTTCCCACCACCAAGCCTCCCGGCGTCTTGCAAGATCCCGATCAAGACCATCTCCTGCCACACCGGCCAATCCCTTCCGCCGGCCTCGTGCTCAGCTCCCCCTCATCTTTCTGGGCAGTCTCCAAATCTCTTTATATTCTGTTCGTCCGCTCCACCTTTCACCCCCGTCTCCGTCCGGACAGTATCATTGTCTGCCAATAGGCATATTGCCAGTACAGAGCTGCAAACCTTAGCATCAATCATACCTTTCCCAGTACCGATAAATCTTTCAGCATGGCTGCCCAATTAGAGACCGGGATCAGATTCCTGGACGTGACGTCGAGGCCTTTCTCGCCCGGCCCAGATGCCCACCGCGGCCGCAAGAGGCACCGGAGCCTCACGAGGAGTGACATGCCGGCGACCCACTACGGTGGCACGGGCGAGTCGAGCACGTTTCGCGGCCGTCCCCGCCGTCGATCGACCTCCCCAATGGCGCTCTCCTCTCGGGCGTCCTCTCGAGGCCTGCCGAACCCTTCGGTCTCCCCTACGAGAAAGCGGCTGCTCCGGGTCATCCTTCTAGACCGACGACGGAGTCAAAGCCCTTCCCGGTCCCGGTCGCCCAATCACCAACAGCCGCCGCCTCGGCGCCGTCAGAGGACCCGGAGCCGGAGCCGCACCCACACGAAGGATGCGCTTCAGCCCAAGGAGCAGCCCCCCCGGCTGTTCCAGGAGCTATTCAAGAAGTCGGGCAAGCCCGGCGAGGACTGATTACGTCGTCAATCACAAGACTGGGGACGAACGGTATGGAATCCGAAAAGACGGGAAACAGAAAAAAACGGCAGCACCACCGGTCGAGCATGCTGCTCACATGGCATTTTGCGGTGTGCGAAACGAAAACCATGAGCAACGAATTATCCCGCCGCTAGTCGGACGGGCCTGAGGGCGGCGATAGGGCTGGCAGCATTCTGGAGATGCTCGTGTCTCGGACAGCTCAGATAACGCAAGACAGGCACCCAGACTCCCGGAGTCACCATGTGACTTGGCTGAACCCGTGCGAGGAGGCAGTCCTCGTTTGCTGTGCTTTTGGCGAGTTGTCTCTGTCTCCTTGATACCTGCTGATGAGGGTACATATAACTTGTAAAACATGGGGAATGGAGTTACAGAGGCGCGGTGAAATTAGGCAGTCTCATAACGAAGGGTGTATGCAGCCTAGGGCCATCATTTAATGTCTTGGACGGGCGGTCGTATCCAGCTCGGCCTTGGGAATGGTGGGTAAGACTCGGAAGATCGGGCAATGAGGTGCAACTAGTAAGGGACGGACTGTTAAAGGTTGTTTGGAAGTGCAGATGTATCATTTACAGGCGATGCCCGGATGTGGGTTTCTCGGAGGGTGGGTGCAATGCATCCTGTGTCTGCAACTTTGTATCATTACGGCAACCCTGGGTTACACATTGATAGGAATTCAGGAGTTCAACCCAAACTTTGGCAACGAGACAAAGAAGCCGGTGAGCGATACGAGTCGTCGGGGGCAGACAGCGAGGTGTGGAAAAAGTCGACGGGTCAAGTGACCCCTCAGACTTTCACACTTTCACAGGTTGCCTTGAACAAGCGGGTGCTAAGAGCGCATAGTGTCGTCTAGAGTGACACAGAGAGTGGGATGTTGGCTGGGCCGAGATGGGTTGATGTGGGGCGCACAGACCAGGCTCCCTCTGAAAAGGATGGCCACGTGAGGAAGATGAACTTTCCAGATAGCTAATCGGAATCGGGAATCAGCCTGTCTCCACCGCAGATGCCCCGCTGCAAGAGGCGGAGGGAGTGACCTCAGCTGCAAGAAGGCTGCGCTGCTGCAGCCAACGCCGCACCGCATTCCATATGCCGCGCCTACCACCACCACCACCACCACCACCACCTTTACCTCAGCACCACTTACCTACGGATACCTCAGCACCCACCTCAGCCCGCACCTCTCCGCGAATACGCCAGCGCCCTTCCTGCCCTGGGTCTGCACTAGACCGGCGCTTGCCTTATTGTCATCACCATTTGATTTTTCTGTCCTTCGCGCCAGACCAGAGGAAGTTTTTCTTCCCCATCTCGCCCTTCCTTATCAAAGGCAGGGACACGGCGGCATGGAAGTCAGCGCACTTTGATCTGGTGTCGACTCGACTCGACGACGACATTCGACCTCGTTCCCCCTTTGCGCCCCAATCACGACCTTTGGCTTTGCGCTCTCATCTCTCTACCTAAAGAGCGACGATAACGACTTCGAGAACGACTCACACCCCGGTTGTGACTCCCCGTCTGGATACCTTGTCGGTCTTGTATTCACCACAGCACACTGAATCTACCACCAGCCTTGTGCCTGCCTCGCCCTGACTGGCTGTGGTCGGCTGTTCCTTCCCATCTGTTCCAAACAGCAGCATTCACTGGCTGGAAGTCTTGTGTTTGCTAGGTTCAATCTTTCTTTTCCGAATCTTTCTCCATCTCAGCCACATACTCGGGACCTCAGTGCTTTCAACCCCGCCGCCAGAGTGATATACAATACCTCCTACAAATCTCTCGTCTGTGATGATCGCAACAACTCCGTCCAGACTGCCTATAATACGAAGCCTACTGGTGTGAGGCCTCCAGAACCCACCGATTCTCAAGGCTTGGTACCTGCCTGGTGACAAGTCGTCGCCATGGCGTCTCCAAACAGACCAAACGGTGAGTCCATGCCTCTTGCCTTCGACCACAGCACCTCCCCTCCTTCCTCTTCGATATCTCCCATGGCCTTCGACTTTCCCAGGCACACAGAGAGCGGGGTAATACTGACAAGATCTACCCATCCAGGCCGAGCCAGCTTGGCTACCAACCCCCAGCCGCAAACGTGGAACGCGCAAGCCTTACTAGCCCCTCGTTCGTATGCGTCTTCGACCTCGGCTGCGAGACGAAATTCCCCAAAACCACAAGCTCTAGCGACGCGAGCCGCCCCGATGAATCACAACGCAAACAACGCGATGGTGTTTCAATTCGCGAGTCCGAATGACACGCCCAGCGAATCTTTGACGCCCAGCATGGCTTCGGGCGCGTCGACACCCGTCCTCGACGGCGGCGCTTCGCCCTACGGAATGGGCAGCGTCATTGAGCGGATGAACCATGTCCAAGACCGCGCCGCAGCTCCCCAACCCAAGCGCAGAAAAGTCGACACTCCCGAGTCTGACGCGGACAGCAACAAGAAGACCATGGCAGGTGGGGGCAGCGGCATGCTTGGTGCATATGTAAAGGAAAAGCAAGACGAGGGCAAAAAGGAAGGTCCACAGGCGTCCACACAGACCGTGGATTTGACAGGAGGTGACGACGACGTTGTCATGGTCGCGAACCCCGGTAACGAAGAGGTTTGCTACGGCATGTTGTCCGGTCACCTCGATTGCCATAGGGTACCATCCGCGAAGCCCGGAGCGCAGAGCATCTTTGGAGCGGACTACACGGCGCCGGTCAAGATCGTTCTGAAGAGAATCTTGGGTGAATCGACCAAGCGGATCCAGGCGTACGACCATACTCGAGAGATTATCGGAAACGTGGACGCGGCCACTGCTACTGCACTCGTCCCGTTGCTGGACTCTAACGTCAGTCTCAGGACCGACTGCAAGATCCCAGGGCGTCGGAAGCAGCCTGACGAGCAACCGGGCCAGCCCATATCGCGATCCTACCCTGTGGAGATGACGCTTTACGGCCAGTACAAGTTCGCCAAAGCCATCGGCAAGCACTTTCAGAGACACAACATTATCCTTCGTCACCCTAACAGAGTCGACAAGGGCATACGGTACGAGAACGTCCATGCCGAGGCCCCGAAGCCGGCGGCCGGAAACGCCCCTAGGTCCCTCTCGGGAGCACTTGCCCACTACAACCCCCAGACGTCCACCACGTACTACACGAACCCGACCCCGCGGACCGTGGAGGAGATCCGCTCAGACGTCATGGGCGTGTTTGATTCGATGGGTAACAGCGATGAGCTCCCAGAGCTTGATCCAGCCGCCATCATCACCACTCCGCTGCTCAAGCACCAGAAGCAGGGACTGTATTTCATGACATCGAGAGAAAAGACATCGAGTGCCGAGGAGAGAACCAAGGGTACCATGTGGCAGTTACGCATTGGCCCCAACGGTCAAAAGTCTTACTACAACGTCATCACCGGTCATGCAGAGCGACAGCTTCCCAGTGATACCCACGGCGGTATCCTTGCCGACATGATGGGCCTGGGAAAGACCCTGAGTGTCCTCTCGCTCATCGCCAGCTCGCTTGACCAAGCCCGCGAATGGGCCAGCCGCGCTCCGGTCCAGCCTGAGATGCCACCGCAAAAGGCAGGAGGCAAAGCGACGGCCTCAAGCACCCTGCCGCTGACCAGCGTCACCACGAACACAAGAGCAACTCTGCTGGTCTGCCCCCTGAGCACAGTGACTAACTGGGAGGAGCAAATCAAGCAGCACATTGCGCCTGGCGAGCTGAGCTACTACATTTACCACGGCTCGAACAGGACCAGGGAGGCCGATAAGCTGGCAGACTACGACCTGGTCATCACCACCTACGGCTCCGTGTCGAGCGAATTGGGCGCACGCAGCAAGCGCAAGGGAGGCAAATACCCCTTGGAAGAAATTGGCTGGTTCCGTATCGTGCTCGACGAGGCTCACATGATTCGTGAGGTGGCGACTCTCCAGTTCAAAGCCATTGTCCGACTGCAGGCTGCACGCCGTTGGGCCGTCACCGGAACCCCCGTCCAGAACCGCCTTGAAGACTTGGCTGCGTTGCTCCAGTTTATCAGACTCAGACCCTTTGACGATCGGAACAAGTTCAACCGCTTCATCGTGGACCCGTTCAAGGCGTGTGACACGGAGATTGTGCCAAAGCTCCGCGTGCTGGTGGACAGCGTTACCCTCCGCCGGTTGAAGGACAAGATCAACCTGCCCCCACGGAGCGACCACATTGTCAAGCTCGACTTCACGGCGGAGGAGCGCGAGATTTACGATCTGTTTGAAAAGAATGCCCAGGACCGAGTCAAGGTTCTCGCCGGAAACGGGGTGCAGCGTGCGTTGGGAGGGCACACATACATCCACATTCTTCGTTCCATCTTGCGGCTCCGGCTCCTCTGTGCCCACGGCAAGGATCTTCTCAACGACGAAGATCTCGAGGCTCTTCAAGGAATGACTGCTGACATGGCTATTGACCTGGACAGCGACGATGAAGACCAGAAGCCCGGGCTGTCGGACCGCAAAGCGTATGAGATGTTTGAGCTCATGCAGGAAACGAACACAGATGTCTGCAGCTCCTGCTCCAAGAAGCTGGGCACCAATGACGACGCTAGCATCGAGTCGGAGGGACAAGAAGACATTCTCGGATACATGACGCCGTGCTTCCACATCATTTGCGGCTCCTGCATTAGAGGTGTCAAGGAGCAAGCCAAGCGATTGCTGCCAGCCGGCCAGGCCGCTGGACCCTGTCCCATCTGCTCCACGATCATCAAGCCTGCTTATGTGGATATTCGTCGCTCGCGAATCAAGGTTGAGCACGAAGGACCTGCCAAGGACAAGACGACGACGAACGGTCGCAAAGGCTTCGACAAGTACACTGGGCCGCACACCAAGACGAGGGCGCTCGTCGAAGACCTCCTCAAGTCGAGAGACGATAGCGACGCGAACCCGCATGAGCCACCTTACAAGTCCGTCGTCTTCTCGACGTGGACGTCCCACCTTGATCTGATTCAGCTGGCGCTCGACAAGCTGGAAATCAAATACGTGCGTCTCGACGGCAGCATGTCTCGTGTCGCCCGTACGCAGGCGATGGACACTTTCAGGGAGGACGACTCCGTGCATGTCATCTTGGTCTCAATCACAGCAGGTGGCCTCGGACTCAACCTGACGGCCGGCAACAACGTCTACGTTATGGAGCCTCAATACAACCCGGCGGCTGAGGCTCAGGCTATCGACCGAGTCCATCGTCTTGGGCAGAAGCGACCGGTCCGCACGGTGCGATACATTATGCGCAACAGTTTCGAAGAGAAGATGCTGGAGTTGCAAGAAAAGAAGAACAAGCTCGCCAGTCTCAGCATGGACAGAAAAGACCGGGTGTTTGACAAGAGCGAGGCGGCTCGGCAACGGCTGCTGGACCTTAGAAGTCTCTTCAAATGAGTTACGACGACGCAGCAACGTCAAGGATCGAAACGACTAGTTCGAACTGCGCCGCGCGGGCATTGCAACCTGGTGTTTCGGAGTTTATGGAATTGAGGCAGCTCGGCGATTGGCCTCGACACACGACTTTTTCTTCTTTCAGTTGGTTGCCACTTGTGAAAGGACTCGTCCGTCCGTCATCAGGTGGCTGCATTGTTTGGTGTAGGGAGGGGGAGGCATTCTCAGTTTTCAGCGTCCAATGACGTGACGATACCACACCGCTTCATGTTATTTTATTTCTTTTTCGAGAGCGAAGGCGACGAGCATGCCATCTGTTGAGGGCGGGAACGGAGGCAGCCATGGTTTTCTCTTTTATGGTTCTAGATTTGCATTAGACCGGCTGAGGCGGTAACATCTCAGTCGAGGAGGTACATCTGCTTTGAAGGAGGGACACGCACACTGCATCACTCGATAATTATGATGGCAAAAGTGCCTCCCTTGCAATTTACGTACATTAACCCACGTGTTTCCCTCATGTCCGAGGCATCGCAACGACTATGTGGCAAGTTGAGAAGGCTCGAAGTGTGTCACGTAGTGCTGGTCGTCAGTACTGATGATGTTGATATTGAGCTTGGAGGAAGGGCGGGAAAGGAGCCGCGGGGATGTGGTGTCCAGAGAGATCCCTGTCCAACGTGGTTGTTGAAAACCACACCCGAGGCATATCAACATGCGGGTAAGTGGCTTTGAGAGGTGGGCCGTTTATCATGTGTACTGCGTACGTTTGCATGTGTTTCGATCTCATTTGAACGAGTGCTGTCTCCTCGGTGGCATCATATGCGCGTGTCTCTTGTTGTGGAGTTTGTGTGTGTTGTAGTGTCCCTCCATTTTTGTTGGGAAAGTCGTTGTGTTGCAGTGCTGTACTCCGTAGTCGCATAACTCATCTTTTTTAGTTTCCGCCGCCTAGGTAGGTAGCCCAAGATACGGAAAGCCAGCGGCCGAGCCGTTCGCCCGGCTCTCCGCCCCAACACCCGGCTTTTTTTCTGCTGGTCCTTACCTTCAGGCTTCAGCCCCCGTCCCACAGTTGGAGGGCACCTTTGGGGCCAGCCCGAGACAAGCCTTATCGTGTGCCCTGGTCTTGCCGCGTGCGGACTGCGGGACGGGCTCAAGCGAGTCTTTCCATCATCAAAGAGATACAGTACCGCCGAGACGGATACAAACATGTGATTGCGGCTCTGGGCAGGGTGGTTGACGAGGTTGTTGAGGCTGTCTGAACGACGCTTCTTGCTGGCTTGTACAACGCTTTGCTGACTTGCACAACGCCATTATTGGCCCGTGAACATCAAGTTTACAATCGGTCTCGGTGACCGCACTCTCGTGGTTACCTGCGCTTTAGTATGGTCGTGGACATCACCAAGAGTGGACATCACCAAGAGTAACGGAACGATGAAGTTGGAACAAAGTTTCTCGCATATTCATTCTTGCCCTCTGATGGGCTTCTTGTTTCCTATTCTAAGCAACAGCTTCAATGAACTGCAAGTGAACGCCTTCCGCAATGCCCGACCCCGCAAACGCCCTAATGATACCCATAATTGTGAGGTCGGCCGCTGCTGCCACTCATTGCTCAACCCTAGCGGGTGGAATGAGTGTCAAGGCGAAACACCAATAACGACGCGATGGTCGTTATGAGAGCAGCCCAAGCCTGTTGGCCCGGATCTGCTGTCTGAAGTGAAAGTTCGGAGCTCCCACATCACCGCCTCGTTGGTTCGAAACAACCCTCCCAAGTCATTAAATTTTACCATCCTTCATCTCGTTCATGCAGCGTCAGCGCTGGCAACAGGAGGCTGGACCTTGGTGACCTGATCGCCGGCGCGGGTGATACGTTGGCCGTTCGAGTCGGTAACATAGGTCATGTCCTTGTTCTCGAACTGAGCGCGCTTCCAGATCTCAACCTCGCAGCCACCACGCAGGACACCTACACGCATGGTGGAGAGCAGGTTGTGAGCGGCGTTGGAGTGGAGGTAGACACCACCGTTGAAGGTGGCAGTGGCATCCTTGCCAATGGCGGAAGAGATGAGAGCCTTGCCACCGGGATGGTCCTTGATGAAGTCGGTAACGTCGTGGATGACACCAGCGATAGCAACGAGTCCGCGTCCGCCCTTAGCCTGAGCAACGAAGTCGTCCCAGTCGATGACGGGCAGCTGCTCCAGGGGAACACCCCAGTCGAGCTTGGCGCGCTTCTGGTCGAGCTTCTTCTGCAGCTGCTGGACACGGCCCTTCTCAATCTCGTTCTGGCGGAACTGCTTCAGGTCGGAGGCGAGGCCGAGCTGCTTCCACATCCAGATGCTCCACTTGGTGGGGTCGTACTGCCACCACTGGATAGCGTTGCGGTAGTCGGAGGGGAACTCGTGGTGGAAGTTGTGGTATCCCTCACCGAGAGTGACGAGGGCAGTGATGACGTGGTCACGCGGTGAGTTGCGGTCGTCGAAGGGCTGGTCACCGAGCCAGTGGGCCAGGGAGTTGACGCAGAAGGTAGCCTGCTGGACGAAGAAGATGCGGAGAATGCCACCGTAGATGTAGCCGCCCATCCAGTCACCCCAGCCGAGACCGCAGACGAGGGTAGGGAAAACAACACCCATGCCGATGACACACTTGATGAAGTGGATGTGCTGGAACATGACAACGGGGTCCTCGTTGAGATCGGAGATATCGGTACGGCCCATGCGCTTGGGGTCCTGCTTCATGACCATCCAGCCGATGTGGCTGTAGAGGAGACCCTTGCGAACGGAGTAAGGGTCCTTGTCGGTATCGGTGTAGCGGTGGTGAGCACGGTGGCCGTGAGACCACCAACGGATGGAACCCTCAACGGCACCAGCACCGACGGCGGCGAGGTAGATTCTCAGGGGCAGGCTGGCCTTGTAGGAACGGTGAGCCCACAGGCGGTGGTATCCAGCGGTAATTCCAAGACCGGTGTTGAAGTAGTAGATGACGGCGAAGGCGGCGGTCTTCCACTGGAGAGGGACCCAGTAGGAGTAGATGAGGCCGACTAGGGGAATGACCAGAATGAAGGTGGTGTTCAACCAGTTGACGTGCTGGTACCAGTTACCCCAGGTGATGGGCTGGGTAGAACTGTGTGAAAGTTAGCGAGTGGTAGTTCAACCAGCTGTGGCCAGGACGCACATATGAGGCTTCTTGCTGTCGTAAGCCTTGGAGGCACGGGCGGGAACGTAGTCGCTGGTGCCATCAGGGAAGGCCGAAACCTCCTTGGGCTTCGCGGCCGAGGATGAAGTTGCCGCCGACATGTTGATGAGACCCAACGGGCTTCACTGGGGAGGTCGTCGAATCTGTTCGGAAGTCGAGGGACTCCGGGGCTGTCTAAGCCGGAGACGATCGGTATGCCTTGTGGTCGAGTCAACGTCCACACAACAACAAGGTCGGTGTCCAAAAGCCAGGCGGGCGATGGACTTTGGGTGTGAGGGTAAGTCTGGAGACGAAGTTAAGAAAGAGGAAGAGGGGTTGAAGAGCCGGGAGTTATATAAAGGGATACCAGATAGTTGACCAGGCCCCAGCAAGGAGGAAAAAAGGTACGGAGTACGGAGGCCGGGGTACCTTTGGGCGAGTTGTCCGCCACCCACCAGGATCAAAAAAATCCCAGCAAACGAGTTGAGTGAGAAGTGGAAGGGTGGGAGGGGTGGTGGGGATTGGGGGTGCGGGTGGGCGTTGGTGAATCAATCAGGTCAGGACCAGCAATCATAATCAGCCAAAAATGCAAAGACAGATGCACCGTGGGTCGTGGGGTTTGACTTGACTTGCTGGCGGGACTTGGACCTGGCCGGGATTTGCAAAGAAAATGGGCAGATGGGGAGGCACAGCGACGAAGAAGCTTCCCGTTGGACCACCTAGTTTCCCAGGTCCCGTCCCCGCCGCCGCACTTCACCGAAGAGTGACCCAGGCACCGTGCCTTGAGAGACGCGTGTGCGTGTATCCCGAGCAGCGGCCAGATGTTGATACGCCTGTCTACCTTCCCGGCGGGAACTGCTGGCAAAGTAGTATACATACACAAACCGCAAGGCAAGAATGCAAGTGGCCAGTCGTGGTTGTATCTCGCACACCTGCCACTGCCGGAAAGGTACCAGTCGCGGCTTCCCTTGCAGATGTGCCAATTGGTGGTGTAGAGCGGATCGTAATAGGAAGTGACCTTCACCCATCTTACATCACAGTAGCTGCATTGCATGATAGCAGTTACCTAGCCCGTGTTAGCCATTGCCAAATCATCACCTTCTCTGCTTAAACCTCCACGTCGCTTGCCGGCGTTGTTCTGAATCCAGGAATCCCTCCCTTCCCTCCGCTGGCTGCTCCGTCGGTCCGTCTGTTACCTGTCACGGCCTCGACCTTTAACCTCACGCCCATGCGCAGCGGCAGCAGCAAGTGCACAGCATGATCTGAGCAATCTTGGCCCATCTCTCTTAGGTAGTCTTCGTTGGGGGAAGGGACCACGACGGCCAGATTCAACTATTCAGATCCCCTTGAGAGGAGGACCCTTATCCCCAAGGAGCCAACAAAAAGCGTTCAAATGTCATCAAACACGGCCATGATGGCTCGAAAACATGCCATCTCCGACTCGAGGCTTGGGGATCAGAAGCAAATTCGGACTCTTCCTGAGCGCAGGATCTCTCCGCACAGCCGAGGATGAGACGATTGACGGCCCCAGATCAGGTCACACCTTGGCTGGCTTTTTTTTTGGTGCCTTGTCGGGAGGAGGGGGGCTCTGGGGTTGCAGGCAAGTACACATTGTGCCTTTTCTGCGCCGTAGTGAGGGTGGGAGGTTGTCAATCTGCAATGAATAACTGGCAAGCACGCACGAGATGCGGTCCAAAGAAAAAAAAGAGGCCCCGGCTCCCAACAACTTCCCCAACGCTTTTCAATATGACGGGTCCTTGATTGGACGGGACGGGGGCTGACCCCTGCCATGTGGTCGCCGCTGGGGCGGGGCGGATGGGCGGCTGGAATCCACCTTACCTCAT